ACGTAGAATTTAATACATACTCGACTTGCAACAAAGTAAGACCGATTACATCTCAAATTAATAACTTTTAACTTGAGCGCGTATTCGGTTACTAATTCGATGTGCGATATTAGAAAAAGAAATTTGCGGGATCCTTCATCTTCTCTCACAATTAACTACAATCTATACGCTATCGTCTTATTATAAACTTTATCGGATCAGCCCTTCGTGCTTCGTGGTAACTTTCCGGATCAAAAAAACTAGCAATATACGAATATATAAATTACACAAACAAGAAAGAAGTCACGAAACTTTGCTCTTATCGTAATCTCTGTGCCCTGTCACGTGCACGAAATCTTGAAGCAACGTAAAAAGTGGGCCAACAATCTACATTAAATACTGTCAGGAGATCGTCGTACAGTCTGTCGGCTATGGATTTTGAAGAATAAATTTCCGTGAGACTTCTCAAGAAGTATTGTGTGGATGAAGTTTGTACTTGGCGGAGTTCTTATTCGAGAATAAAATGGCTTTGTGAAGTCGCTCGCGCATTGCGTCCAATTTTCAAGGAATAATTTTAAGCTCTTGATCCGTATTTCCGTTATGCATCTTTAAAGCAGATGGAGCGCGATATGTTACACATAAATATTTTCGTTAATGTTTATATCATAAATATTTTTATACGAGGCGAAATTAATGATACCGTGCTTGTTTTTAAAGGGATAAATATTTAAAATTGTTTAGAAAGTTACATACTTTAATACAAAGTATCAAACTCGTTTTTTTATTGAAATATAAAGTCCTCGGGAAATCCATGTCTTTACATCATGCCGTACGTTGAGTGAAACTTATACGCGGATGACTTTTGAAAAGGAACAACAATAAAAGCGAAGTTACCACGCGGGTTAATATCGCGTAATTAACCGACGAAATTATAACAAGGAACACAGACATTTGCGAATGTTTGTGGTGCTTAGGTTGAATTCAACGTTTCAAACAATTTGTATTTGCTTCAACCACATTAAATTATTCATTCGTATTTGACTTCCAACGTACGATAATATTCTAATTAGAGATACGCATAACTTTAAGAACTTTATCCCTCTCTCTGTCTGTCTCTCTCTCTCTCTCTCTCTCTCTCTCTTTCTCTCTGTGTTCTATTTTATCGTTGTGGTGACTACGTGCAAGGGAATGTTTTAACGTGAAAACAGCATATTTTATTATGCACAATAATCGATTTAAATCAAAGTATTCCTGTAAGTCGAAAAACTACATTTTTACAATATGATATTATAATAATGTTTTCAATTTTTAACTTCTGAATTATATACAGATTGTAGTTTCTTATACTAACACTATTTTATATATTGAGCGAAACTTTTCATCCTGACTGTATGTTTCACCAATGTTAAAAGTCACTATATAATACATATTAAGATGTGGTTGCTTCCGGCTGAAATTACGTCGGGGATTCGTGCCCTTTAGAGGAAGTTCGATGAAGCGCGAAGTTACATCCGCAGCTAGTTTTGCAGGGTAGATCAAGAGGGTACGATAACAACCCTTTGCCCAACAAGCCAGGCAGCAAGAAAATGTGCACGAGAGACTTTTAAACGAGGAATTTAACCATTTTGTGGTGAACTAACCAAATTTGCGCGACTGAAGCAAAGTGGGTAGCAACTGCTCGCAGACAATTGTATTTAATGTTCTAACTTCAGTTTTACGACATTAGAAACTTTTCATAGTACCGTATATCGAATGTGATAACCGCCAAAATGCCATATTTATTGTGAAATTATTTGACATGAATATTTTATTTTATTAATAGAGATTTATATTATACGATTATGTGGAAATTAAGTCAGTTTTATATCATTAGAAATTTTAAACGATGAAAGGGATAAATAAAAATACTTTACGGTAAAAGAAATATAACTGTTTTTAACGAACAATAATGTTCCATTTATTCGTATTAACGCTAAAAGGGGAAAAATCACGTTATTTGTGTTTTACATTACGAAAATATATGAAATTAAGCGAGCCCATAAATATTGAAATTATAGAGTGACACATTTTTATAAATAGACCATTACTAATCTATATATTTTACATCATCTAAATTTATTAATAATATAAATTTTTGCAAAATGTAGACTGTGCTGACAAAAAAAGCTCAACCTCAGAATTTCCAATACAATATTAAAAATTCAAATTTGCATTGAGCGCGCGCAATATGTATATTCTAAAAATATTTTTAAATTCTCATTTTGTATGTGTGTGTGTGTGTGTTATTTGTTAAAGAAATATCTAGTCTAGAAATATTTGAATAGTCAATATTTTCAATAATCTTGTTCATTTAAAAATGTCGAGGTTATACGAAGGATCTTTTCAATGAAGCATCCTTGTAATATTATACGGAACAAAATCGCTCGTTGTAATGGCTTGTGCTCGCGTTAAAAATTACCTCCTGTCGCGCATTTAGCGGTGACTTTCATCAAGTGAAATTGTGCCTGACGATTTTCGTCGAGGGTGGAAGAGCCTGGTGAGGCGTGAAGTCGCATCCCCAGCTACTTTGTCAGGCAGATCGAAAGGGTGTGATAGCGAGCCCTTAGCGAGGAACGCTTTCCACAGAATCAACCATAAAACGTTAACGCGTTGCAATTAATCGTTGGTTTGCGCGTCTTCTCATAACTAAGGAAAAATTGCAAAAAATTAGAATAGGAAAAAGAATGATTAGAGAAATTTAAATCAGATGAAAGATGCAAGAAGATAAGCTTAAAGTCTGCAGATTACACGGGGAACATGAAAATATATAGGACGTTCCATTTTTATCGAATTTAATGGATAGATTTTCTCTGAAGAAATTTTCGAGCGAATTATCGACTGAATTTAAGATTAGTCGGATAAAGAAAGATGCGGAATACCTTGTGCATAAAAATGCGACTATAAAACGGGCTCATGCGGATGGACGGCTGACAACGATTCTACAAATTTCGAGATGAGACTGTTATATTACGTCTGCGATATTACGTCAAGGTGCGAGTTATTACGCGGTAGGGAGCGATCGAAATTACGTCGTAAATCGTGGTCCTCGAGATTCGATGGCGCGAGAAAGTGCTTCCGCGAGCGTTTCGCCGCACGGAGATGGACGGGATGACGACAAAGAGCCAACGAAGACGTTCTCCCCGCGAAACGATCGATGAGAGGGCGGATGAGGGTGGCCGTATCTCGCGGAGAACGGATTCTTCGAGCTGCGAGAATCGAATTAAGGCTTTCGGCCGAGTGGCTTGTACAACCTTGTAACGGTCTCAAATTTCACCCAACTATGAATTCGCCCATTACAAAGTCTGCTAAATATTAATCGGATATTGGATTGAGTTATAAGTAATTATGTAAGATATCTTGGATGTTTGGTAAAAAGTCTCGACTCTGCTTTGCGCTCATAATTACAATGTACAACTAATGTATTATATAGAAAGATTTGTTTTTAATTTGATATTACAAATGAGTCATTAACTCTCACGGGATATAATCTTACTAAATATATTTGGTTCTTTTTCTCCCATGAAACATATAGAATATTTTTATGAACTATATTATTTATATGAAATGTACCGAAAATATTTTGAAAAACAGATTTTTGTGAGAAAATAGAATTCACTACAAAAAAATTATATTATTTTTATATTCTCCGCGCGAACAATAAATTCTTGTTTGAATTTACATTGCTCTATGCAAAAATACAGGTAAAAGTTACGTTTTGTTTAATATTATAGGTGCTATTCTTGTTTTGTATCGCCTATCTCGTATTGTTATCGTTTCCAACTTTGTTAAATAATTGTTATCTCGCCATAAATTTCACGCGTAAATTTATCTCTACGTGAATAAAAGAAAAAATTGGACACACGAACCAAGAAGTCGAACAAACGCGAATTAATGCCCCGTGATCATGTGATGTCATTAATTAACCCGAAGTTTCCATAAATTCTCGGAATCTTGGTTGCGCTAGTTCCAAGTTACGGCGCATTAGAAATCGTTACGTAATACGGACACGTAATATAGTGCGCTGTGTGTCGTATAAGACTTTTGCTGGAATTACGTTTGGCGCTCTGTGAAAGCTCGGTGAGACGTAAAGTTACACCCGTCCGAGCACTCGCAATCGTCGGATGGAAAGCTTTGATCCCGAATAAAGTGCCGCTGGGTAGGATGGAGGAAGTCGCGGAGATAGAGAGAAAGAACGCGGCTTCTTTCTCTGGAGCAGGAAGTCGATAGGGAGCCGTCTCGACGCCGACGGCGGGCGTCGTAGAGTCGACCAGATTCCTCTCTCCGTGTGTTTGACTGTCGCCGCCGTTATTTGCCGAGTTATTCGATGTGCGACGAATGATGGAGCGATTTGAGTCGCGATCCTCGGTAACTGCGTGTGAAGTTACGCGTCGAATCGATAGCGTAGGATGGGACAGAATGCGTCTTTGATACTTTCCAATGCGAAATTTCGAATCGGAATTCAACGGAATTCCGATTACGCGCAATTCCTGCAGAAGTACATTCCTGGCGCAATATCGCGCGTTTAAAAATGCATTAGGGATTGGTCTGCTCCCGAAAAGTTAATTTACAATTGCGACGACGCATCCGATTTCGTATCGATTCATTCGTTTTCCAATATCGGAATCGTACAAAAAAAGGAACGAAGGAAAAAAAACTTTACATCCGTCATTCTAGTTAAAATGTCATTAAATTCGAGATTTTTCTTATTTTCTTAGAACTAACGGTATTTATTATTACATTAAGAGATGTCGAGACACGTTTATATCACGTTTACAGTGAGTTTACACGTTTATATCACGGAAGAATTGCAACGTAAAAAAAAAAAAAAAATCGCGTGAAAACAAGCGTTTAATTCTACCGTGCAATGGAATCTTTGATTCAAGGTTGGTTGACGAGAGTGTCGGGAATGTTTAACCGCAGCAACCGAGACCGTGGCTAATGAAAGCGACGTTTGATCATCGACCACGAAGTAATCGACTTACCGTGACTGACTCTGCTTCTCCCTACGGCTCCTCCTTCCTGTGTATTGAGGCTCCTGCGCCTCCCCTATTTCTCCGATCTCGTGTTAATTAACGAAACACTCGCCGCACGATGACTACTCTCCGAGATCAACGTACTCCAATTTATATTTCGACAGCCTCGACGTGCGATCGACGGGAACCTTTCCGCTCCGATGCGTTTCCCCGTAATCGAATTTTGTACACCTCGTAACCGAACGGAAGAGAACACGACCACGGTTTTTCGAGCGTTGTTTTTTTTTCTATTTTGTCTTTTAACGAAACCGTTAACGTGCGAGTGTCGTAAAATAAGGATGATAAATTGAGCTGGTGAGATTGCAATTCATAGACTTCTCTTCCCGCGTAAGAGAGACATTACACGTGATCTTCTTAACTTACTGCGGATGTGCGTAAAATTGTCCTTTGTATTTTTCTTTCGCAAAGTTCTCGTCGAGAACGTATCTTCTTGTCGACTTTGGTACATAATAATTCGAACGGAAACGCAAAAAGACAGAGCGACTAAGATTTTTCGCGACTGTCACGACTCTTTTCTCCGAATCTCCATCTCAGCGCGAACTCGCGCATGACTTTCCCGAATTCACGGCTCTATTTCTTCGAGTCGCTAGTCCAAGAATCGTGACTGGTTACTTCATTCCCCGGCGAAGCACGAGGGTCGAAGTCCCGCGTCAGACTGCAGGGTGTCACCCTTGTTCGTACCCTCGAACCTCCGCGATTTCCACCCTACCACCATCATTTCGCGAGCTGTACGCATGCCCGCAGGAAATCCACCCTCGTCGTATCTCTCGGCATTGCCTTCGTATGTATATATATATATATAAATATATGTATATATATATATGTATCTATGTGTATGTGTGTGTGCTTATACGTGCCTCCACTCGAAAATTGTGGAAGCGTGCACGGATGGGCGATGGGCGGGTGGGTGGTTGGTTGAGTGTGTGAGTGTGTCCATACGTGAACGCGATTGGCGACGAGCGTTTATACGTGCATAGATACGTGCGTGTGTGCGCCGGTGAGGGGTGCGGATGCGCTTGGGAGGTAAACACGCGTGCGATAAATCGCCGCTCGAGGATGCGTGCGCGCCGCCGTCGTCGACGGCGACGACGACGCCGACGGTGGAAATAAAAATCGAGTGGACCAAGGAGGGTTTATGGGTTTATCGCGAATACTTTTGAATGCTGCGGGAAGGAGTGAATGTAACTTTGATGATGCTGCGTCGCCGCGGCAGAGGCACGGGGGCAACAATTTCGGCTACGTTAAATTACACGCCATTGTATTTTTTTATTATTTACGAAACGGTCCTCGTCCAATCATAAATGCTTATCATCTTTGACGGAAGTAATTGCGTGGAAACTTCACGCCTCGTGTATCTAGTACTCTGGACTTTAATTTATTGAGCAAAGTTGGCGCGAGTTCCCGTAAGCTAAACGCTAAGCTTATTTACTTAATGATTAAGTTAAGTTGACTTGACACGTTACTCCTGACGGCAGAGATACGACGGCAAGCTTCACCTTTATAACCTTTAAAGTTATCTGTCTCATAATTATTTATGCTATCTAGATCTAGATTCATAACCTAAATTAGTTTCTTCTCAAGTAAATCGTGGTATCTATTTTCCTTGAATTGGCGTTTTCATACACATGCATAATACAATAAATTTATAATTGTAGAAATGAGTGGGAAGTTAATTAATTACAACGCTTTTAATTATAATTAATATTGTTTAAACATCTCTTTTTTTATTTTTTAATATACGTTTATTCTTTTAATATATATATATTTCTCTAGTTTCTTCTTGTAGATATAAGCGTTCCTGAGATGGAAGAATTTTGCTTTAACAATGAGACGCGCGTCACGTTATTACATGGATGATTATTACTATCGTATGATCATTACGTATAATTATTAAAATAACGACCGATGATTTGCTAGAAAAATCTATCTAGATTGTACCGCTCTAACTCTATTGTATATCTGGTTTCAGCTTTTCGCTTATTTGATTTTCATTTCCATCACGATTTTAATAGAAATAGCCAACGATTCACAAAGCTCAAAAAAAATGAGCAAGGAAGCGTAATTCCGTCCTCGCAAGCCGGCACGCTTGAGCGTCGAAAACGAAATTAATAAAGCGCAGCCGGTGCAACAAATTTCGATAAATCCACGAGCGGTGATGCGATAATTTCGAAGCTATGCAGTCCGCTCGATTGACTCGCGTATAACAGAATCCACAAGTAATTTGACTGACGTATTACACATTCATTTATATATACATATAACATTCACCTAGTAACACGATATTGATTTAAGGGCGCATCGCGGCGACACACAAATATCACAGCGTCGTGGATAAGAACCCGGTATATCCGGCTCTCTCACTTAAGCACGAATCCGAAAGTAATTTTCCTTCCGGGGCGCGTCACTGAGCGTAAGCAAGGCGAGCTCGTTTTAGTAAATTTACGAAGAGACAGAGAGAGCACTCCCTTTTCTCTTTCGCGCAAAATTGCGCAACCGTGAACGAGAGCTTAATATAATTGTTCGCGATTCGAGTCGTCGCGGGGTGTGATAAAAGTCCTTGTCCTAAATAAAGGAATCAACGACGACGGTGCTTTACTCTTTCTTCCCTCTCTTTTCACCCCCGCTCGCTCTCCCATTGCGAGCGGCTCTCCTTGGAGGATCTCGTTTTCTAGCTTGTAATAGTTAGCTTGATGGTGAAACTTTCGCGGCACCTCGGCGGAGCGGGCGAGGTTTAAACTGCATTAACTACGGTCTTGATAATAAAACTTTTCGAAACGTTTGACGGATGAAGCCGAGCAAACGATCTGGCTTTCTGCATTTTCGATTCCCCGCTCGGTAATTAATTGAGGGGCGCGGCAGGGATCCCCGTTGAACTTTGCGTAGAGTGTTTTATGTTCAACCTTCTCGCAGCTCTCTATATATATATATGTACACGATGAGCATACCTCGTAAAACATCATACACCGGCGAATGGGAGGGATGGCGAAGAAGGAAGAAGATGAATTATTTCCGGTACGTCCCGGTACGTCGCAATTTCAAACGGAATTAATGATTGTGTTTTTAGACCATTTTTGGCCGTAATTAATCGAGGTATAAGATGCCCACGAATTTTCACTTTCGGATGGCATCGCGACGCAGGATAAACAACGCATCCGCAAACTTCTCTATTTTTCTTTCCTCTGTCTTCAACTATCTCTTTC